GGGCTGGGCCTGTGCGCTCAGAGAAGAGCGCGCGTCGTCCTGCTAATCGCGAAGCGTTGTTGGGTTTGATCCCCAGCACATGTGGGCAAGTATGGCCTTGAGCAAGATACTGAACCCCCGAATTGGCTCCCAATGCTGGGAGGCATCGGTGTGTGGAATGTTGATGAATGCATTAGTTTTCTCTGGTCCTGCGATGACTTTGCCATCCGCTGAGTGCAGCATGGTGTTGGTGAAAGGGTGAGATTGGGCTGGCACTGCTGTAAAAAGCGCTTTGAGTGGGTCGGTAATACTAGAAAGGCCGTATACAACGTTACAGGGGCCGCGGGGGGGGGCCAGGTCCATTTACCATTTACTAGCTAGTTAGCTGACTGTATCTGGACTGGGAGCTCGAAGGACAGGGGGAGTTTAAACACTACATGCGTAGGAGGCGGTGGATCCAGCGGGGAATACTACTAAGGAGCAGGGCCGGAATGAGCAACAGAATTGGAGCATTCATTACAGCTTCTGTTAGCATTTAACAGGCAGCTGGTAAATATATATATTTTTAAATAATTAAATTAATATCATAAACGTGCAATGACTAGTCAACTATTGGCTTTATCTAACGACTGCTAGTCAACTAGGAAAATCTTAAGTCAGGGACAGCCCTCGTTGTTTGTCATTGCCTTCCAAAACGACCCATATTAGCCTTGTGTGATATGGTGGCTCTACCAGCAGGACGAAATACATACCCAACAATTAATCATGTTTAATTGACAAAATGTCAGCGCCTTTCAAAACGATTCAAATGATTCCTCAGCTATTTGTTCATATCTGGTTAGGTTGTGGTGGTCATGATGAAAAGAAACCTATGTTTCAGTATAGGTAGGAGAGAAGAGGCGAACCGTGTTCCCTAATGTCAAAGTCAGATGCTTTGTATGTCCAACCATCCATGCATAAAGAGGTTTTGTGGTGTTTAACAATGTCTACTACTCCCACGTTTGCTTCTAAAAAAAGAAGAGTTATCATTCTTACAGCCAGAAGAGGTTGTTTACACATACACAGGTCATTTAAAGCTTTTAAACAGGCGACTGATTCTATTGTTTTTCTGTTGAGGACCATCTTGGATTACAACTGCTGTTGAACAGAACAGAACGATGAGAAGCCACTCTATGAGTGAATACAGCAGAGATAGGCCATCTTTCAGGTGGGACAGCATTAGTCACACAGTAAGAGCGATTCTACAGGACTCTCCATCACTGAGGCAAGAGATGAACTGGTGGCAAACATTTGATTTACAGTGTAGGCTCAACAACATACTGCTGCTGAAAATTAACTGACAGTATACTACAGTAAGCATGGCGTATATCAATTAAATCTTGTTTCACAGGGAATTTATAGCATATTCAATATTTCATCACCAATCAACAATATAGGGAAGATATACAGCTGAAGAGACTACTTGGTAAAAGCTGCAGGTCAGCTTATCGCAGGGTCAGGCAGTGTTTGACGCTCAATGTACCAGTGCCCGTCTTGTCCTTTCACTCATTCAGCAGAATGGCCCATGCTATAAGACCTCCTCACCCATCATCTGATGAATTAGGGGGTAATCTGCAAACTCTACCCTGCTTCAGGATTTATTCTTTAGGTCGCATACTTCACTCTTTAGACTGATTTATACTTTGATCACTTTTTTATGAACCTAATATTAGATGAACATGTCTAGTCTTTCATCCGACTGTCCTGCAAATCTTCACATGTATCAATTTATTATTTATCATTGTAATCTTATCAATTTATGGAAGAGGACCTCCAGTGTTTGCAAAATAAGGTGTAACCATCAGAACACTACAGCTGTTACAGTATTTCAATGTGTCAGACTCATAAGCAAAATTTTTTATCATATACTTTTAATCTTATTTTCATGTTATAGCCAGTGCCTGAAATAAGTACTGGCACTTCTGATTTTTGTACTGCTACCTCTAGTGAGAATGGCGGTACCCACCACTGGGGCTTCACTGGTACTTTTTCCAAGGTGTACATGAACACATGAAATAATTGTCTAAAAATAATTATTTTGATATGCCCAGAACCCCCTTTTCTAGTTCCATTTTTCTAAAACCCTATGTACGGCAATGCTGGTAAGATACTCCTAAACAACTGCCTCTCTGTCATGTTAAAAGGATAAAAATGGAAAGAATTAGGGTTAGGGTTATGTTGTGTTTATGGTTAGGGTTGTTCTAAATTAGGGTATGGGCACTTTCTGGATCTAATTCAGGCACTGGTTGTAGCTATGTTGTAGCTACATCTACAGCAACATTAGGCTACCGCTTAAACCTTTCCAGCAAACCAAAGCTAATTACAGATCATTGTGTTATTCATATATTTTACTTGGAAAGTTAAGAGTTAGATTGGATTGTGGAGGATTTAAAATGCCTAAATAAAACTAAATAAAAGAGATAAAGTAAAATACAATACACATTTTCATATGTATTTTCTTTTTATGTATGCATTTACTGTATCATACGTAAACATTTGGTTAAGGGACAACAAAGTGAGTCACAATTATTCAATCAGTAGTATTACCCAACTTTAAGGGAGATTGGATTGGAAGTTTTCTGGAGCATCTTTTGATACTATTTTCGGTATATGGATTCCTCCTAAAGATGGGAGAAAAAAAAATTCCACCAGAGAGAACAGGCTCAACTAATTCGATCTGTTTAACATTTGTATGTTAGGATTTGAGTGAATTGGAAGAAAAGGGGGATGTGATTTGGTTGGTCTAAAGAGTTAAATGTTAACTTAAGAGCAAGACTGCGTTCCAATTCTTATTTGAAACTGTCAGGAATGAACTTAATCAATGTTAATAAATAAACACAACAGTGGTTAGAGTTATAGTTTTTTTTAGAAAGCCCCATAGTGCTATCAGGAAGAACCTGACACAGGACTTATTGTTACTTCAGCCAGAATGAAACAATAGAAAGGGGCTGTGCTACTCAAATCTCTCTGGGCGTAAAAAATAAAATAAAAATGACCATGGCTGAAGGGGTGTCTGCCAGTGAGAGTTAATGCTAAGTTTCTAGTGGCATAAAATGGAATTATCATTGCACTATTATTAATTCACCTGCAACTCTGGAGCTAATTAAGAAGCAGTGCTGTTGGAAGCTGTGATGCTGAATGCACACTGACTGATTACTAATGGATCCTTCACCTGCAAAGCAAAATGAAGCAGTCATTACTCGTGTTTACATAAAGACTAATGGCACACACACCAAACATCAAGTGATGTTTCAGGCTATTTAACATTTAAGTGCTCGTACATCAACTTATGGCAGTACAGCCTTTGGAATCCTTCAGGTCTAACAGCAGATCTACTCTATCACATTTAAAAGGTTTTCACATTTATATATTATATTATACATTTATATATTGCTCTGCCTCTTTGACAATAGATGTTACGTTATGTCGAAGTGCTGAAAACAATGTCAGAGAGGCAATTCTTCTATTACATGAGCAACATTTACTATTAAAAGAAATAATGCTAATTTCCCACTGCAGACCAATCTTCCTGTTAGGTAGGGGACAATAAGAAGATTTCATATCACAATTATCTTGGCCAAAATAATTGTGATACACGATATTATCACGATAATCATGAAAAATACTTCATACTTTTAAAATGGCACTAAAACATACTGGAATCACTTTACCTTTTTTTGGATTTTGGAACAACTACAAAGATATGGGCTCCCCCTTGTCTCCCTGTTCAAAATCAATCAGGAAATCAATATAGGACTATAGGACTATGCTGGAGAGCTGGACAGCTTTTTCAAGTCAAGCCATGTAAAGATATTCACCATTATCATAAAAATTAAAGTGTTTTTATCGCAATACATGATAATCTCGTATATCGTCCCAAAACCAGTAATGGTGCAAACACAGAATCTAGCGAGGACACATCTGGTTGCAGCAGACCACTGAACGCTTTGGCTAGTGGGTGGAGAAACAACAATTTGGGTGGTGCTTGCCAGCCAGCCAAGAAACTTTTACATATTATGGTTAAACAGTGAACTGAAATATGTTTCTAAAGACATCTGAAAGGAGAAATAGGCAATGCATAAACAAAATCTTGATTCATTTTTGATCAGCACTGTCTAGTTTGACAGTGCTCAGAGTTTAATGAGCCTGATGCCTTGTGCTGGATGGACTTCATTTGCATAAAGTTAAGATTGAGTCCTGTTTAAGCAAATTCAGATACAGCCAGTAATCGGCTAACTCGCTGTAGCGTATCCATCATGCACCGCGTGGCTGGATCTCCTACTCTCCATAGAAAATGAATAGGATGTGTCGGTGCAATAGGTCAGCAGCATTGGTGGGGAGAGCAAACAAATCTGCACTATACATGTGTCAATGCACTATAATTCTCTATTTTCCTCCACTATCTTTTTTGGGGGGATGTGGAATCCATAGCTAGTGGTGCATGGGCACAAGTAACATTCAGTATAAAACTTCTTCAATGATAAAACATCTTCTTATAAAAATGTATTATAAAATATTCAAAAGATGCTGTTTAGGCCTTAGTAATGAAACCATGATCCCATCTTCTTATACTCTATATTTCTATATATCAGACATGTAGGGATTAGGTTGAGGTTGGGGTAAGGCACTGTGAAGGGGTGTTGGTCATGATAAGTGTAATTGATAAGGGATAGGTTTAAAATGGCAGGGCAAAGTGGAGCAGGAAGGGTAGGCCAGGGAAATGCCAGCCATGGCGCTCATACATACTCTATATATATAATTTATGTTTTACTTCATTCAGGGCTTCTGCAGGTTGTAACAGGTTCTATTTAAGACTTTTTAAGACCTTTATGAATGCAAGTTAAGACCTATTTTACACCCAAATGTAAAAAAAAAAGAAAAAGAAAAAAAAATGAAGGATATGAAGTAAAATCAGTATTGATTCATGTCAGTTTAGGACTGTAAATTGATTGTTCTAAAGACAAGAAAGTGCCATATGGCTGCTCTCATCTATAGAGCTGATTAGCTCCGCCACCCAGTGAGTAAACCAGTATCAGGTTCAATTTCTCCCGTTTAAAACAAGCCAAATTTTATGAAAATGGGTTCAGAATTCGGTTTTGCAGTGCAATCTGAATGTCTGTTGTTAATGAGTGGATCTTGATCTCCCAAATATAACAGATGCCCATCAGATTGATAATGCAATATCTATGTTTCTATATCTATGAACCCTACAGCCTTGCTAGTGCCTAAACATTTTGGTGAAAAACAAATTAAATACATTTTAAACTGATACATAGCTGATAGATTCAATATCATCATTTTTATCACCTGCCAGACATGTTCATTAACTCCTAATTAAGCTACAAGAAAACTTACAACATGAACTTATGTTTGAAAATTATATAAAATGTAATTTCTAGGAGACCAGATTGGTGTAAGAAGTAAGAGAGAGCATTGCTGTACCTGTGGAAAAGGACAGATTTAACCAACGTCACCACGTCTCTACTGGCGTTGTAACCTGCACACACGATGGCCACGTGGATGGTCTGTGAAGATCAGAAGGAGAGGGAAGGATTAGACTGAAGCATTGTAAGGAATGGATTGAATAACAACAGGTTGGAGAAGAGAGAAATTCATTCTGCATGTCATAGGCGAGAAAATTATTGACAGAACTGAATTTGCGAAGACGAATAGAATTTTTTTTTTGTAGAACTAAAACACAAAATACTTACTTTCAGCAAAGAGACAAGCGTTCATAGCTAATCATACTGTGGAACATTAACTTACATCAAAGGGTAAGGTATGAAGGGAAGAATTCTGATCAGCCATAATATCAAGTCTATTACATACAAATTGTTGCCTTGGAGCCACATATTCTTTTTTTTTTTCTTTTTTTTTTTCCAAGGTATTTTTTTGGCCTTTATTAGATAGAGGATGACACGCAGCAAAGGGCTGCAATGTCGCATTCGAACCCTGGCCGCTGCAGCAACTCCGTACATGGGTTGCTAGTTCTACCAACTGAGCTAACCGGGCGCCCAGCCACATATTCTTTAATATAGGCACCCCTGTAAAGTTGAACTATTATGATGCCAAAATATTAATAGTCCACAATCCATCTTTGCTTAGTATACAGTTCATTAATTGCCCTTAGGATATTCACTTTCATTGTTATGCATAACAATTTGAGATGTTTAAAGGAACTTTAAAAATTTATTTTTTTGAGAAGGGTCTGGCCGAGGCCTCGCAGACACTACAAACTATGCCTCCTCAAAGACACACCCACTTCTACACAAAGTTACGGTGGCTGAGGAAGACAACAGACCATAGAAGATTAACAATAGATTGAAAATGTTCTTAAAGGTAGCAATAACAGCAACTTTTAAGCAAAGAAATAAACATAGATAACCTTGTCTATGCATTTGAGCCACAACATTACTTAGCATTACATAGCACATATAATGTGGTCTAATCAATGAATAAATGCAAACAATAGGTGACTTATAACACACATTTGAAAAAAATAAATATAAATATATGTATTTTAACAACTATTTAGCAGAAATAATGAATATAAACTATAAACTGTGTTAGCATAACTGCTAACTTCATATCATGGGAAGACCTGCTCATACTCAGAGGCATACCATGCCTCTGACATTTTTTTCTAACTATCTCACCACTACTCATGCCTAAACCTAACCAACCCACCAATCAGAGGCAGAGTAGGGTGGGTTTTTGCGAAATGTGGGTGAAAAAACAAAAACAAAATCACATTTTAAACGTGCTTTTAACATAGGCCTACGCTAACTTGTTTTTTACTATAACTATGACTTTTTACTATAACTAACTTTTGTGTTAGTTTGGATTTATGTCAACATTTGTCATATGACGCTTGGCAGATAAACAGTGTTATTACACATCTTCACATAAAAAATATTTAATGAAATCAAATTTATGAAGATTTTCATGGGCCCAAACACCACTATTGTTCATGTGCCTGTAACTGTAGTCTAAGTGTTGAGATATGTAAAATGAGCTAATTCAATTACAATATGACATTCATATTTCATGTTTCATATCAGTACTAATTAACACCATCTTTTTTTGTGATTTATATGATTTCTTTCATCTAAATGTGTCTGTGCCTCATTTCAGAGCCCTTGTCCACTGAACAAAACACCATAGTAAAAGTGTTTCTCAAAACCAAACAAATCTAGTTTCTATGGAAACAGAAGAGGGCAAAAGAATGAAAGGTTGGGCGACCCACACTAGGTGACCCTCAAGATCATCTTGAATGTGAATTCTATATACAAAAACAAACTTGTTCCAGACTAAACTTATACTCACTATATGCACATTTTGTGTATCTGTTTATATGTATTACGGACTGATCAAAATTGAAATTCACAGAGGCTGAAGTGACCGTAGTTGCAGAAACACCTATGTTTGACTGTTGATGTTAGCTGAAATAATGATTATGTTTGATGGTTGGATTTTTTAATAGTATGTGAACACTATTCTGGACTTTACCCTCTTCACCCTGGGTTATGGCTCCCATTTTAGCTCCAAATGTCTCTCTCTCAGAGCTTCTACAGTATAATCTCCCTGCAGGGGTCAGGGCAGCTGGGCTAACCCTCCAAATGAGAAAGGGTCATGTTCAAGCACTGCTGGAAGGGTGCTACAGTCAGACTGCCCTGTCTTGATTTCTCTTCTTCCAACCCTGAAGGAGCTCTGCTTTCCCTGCAATCAGTTGGCTTTTGAACAGCTCCTGGCTGGAGCCGAGAACTGTGAGTGTGTGAGTGACAGCTGATGTGGGAGGAAAGTAGACAGTGGTGATAAGAAACCATCTGAGGGCATATCCTTTCTCAGAGCACTACACACAAAGCCCATACCTGCCAGCAAGAAAGCACAAGGTGTGTGTCTTTGTGCTGAGAGGAAAATCAGTTGTGAACTTGTTATTCTTGGTGTATTCTCAGTCCAAGTGATAGGGGAATATGGAAATTAGTGACGTGCATCTCTATCACTGAGGTTAGCGAGATATGCATCTTGATGCATTGCCAACAATCCGATACATTCAAGATACATAAAAAGCACCTACCAATGCAATACTTTTCACCACAATTTGATTCAACCGAAATCATATTCAAAGCAGAAGATTATGATGCTACACAATTTAATATGACTAGTGCAGTGCCCGTAGG